CATGACCTGTTGATTGTATCTGCTGGAAGAAGTCATCCGGGCCTGTTGGGTTGGTATCATATCAAGGGATTATGCATCCAGCCCCTGGCCCCTTTTGTATAATTGCCTCTTTAAAAAAGGTTAAGTCTTCTTAGCTAAGGCTTGCTGAGAAAACCTTTCCTAAGTGACTTCATTTATTTTTTAAAATTTAAACTTAATTTTTAAACTTCTGCCTGGAGGAAGCACAGGTAATGCCTTCTCTGTTTTTTTGTTCATTTTTTCCCTAAAGGAAAAATGCCTTTAAGAGATTAAAGCTGCTTAATTAATTGCCATCTGATTACAAACTGGCAAATGGACTAAAATGGGAAGCTGCCACTGTGCTTGGACAGTCGCGGTCAACAACTGAGCTGCGCTGTTCATCCTTTGTGTTCCATGTAACAGACATTTCCAGAGCTTCTCACTTAAGCCAACACTGCTCTGGGCCACAGAGATACAGAGATAGACAGTCCCTTGTCGTGAGCTCAATGTCTAATGGTCTAATGGAATACATTTGAATGTATGTGTGGTTATAGAGCTTGTTAGTGTTATGAAAGGCCCTTTCCTTCACTGCAACACTCTTAGATGGACCCATTTAGGATACTGTCCAGCAGGCCGTTTTCAGTATTCACAGACCCCAATCAGTATTTGTGAATTTGATTGTAATATTTCCATATCCTAAGTAATTTTACTACAGGAGGATGGATTGTTTTCATTTGGTGGTTACAGAGGCAGCTTTTAGCTTCAGCCCAAGAAATGAGATAGATTATAGACCATTGACGTGGTCAGAGGAGGCCCATACAACAGTTGAGTAACCTTCTAAATGTCTTTAGTCCAACCTCTCATCAGAGCCTGCAGCTATTTGTGATTCCTTTCCTTTTTCTTGCCTGGGTTTTCATTGAAATTTGGAGTCAACTCAACTCACGCCGGGCGCGTGTGCATGCGTGCCCAAGATCCCGAGGGGAGAGTGGAGGAGAAGGGATTGCGGCGTGGCCATCCCCCTTGGGGGGTGATTTCTTGCTTTCTGTCTGTCTCTCTCTGTCTGGTGAGCACATGTGCACTGTGGCAAAAACCTCTCCAAAAATAAATAAATAAATAAAAAATTTGGAGTCAACAATGGAGGTGGGGGCTGGAGGGGTATAGGAATCTAAGGCTGAATCATAATCAGAATTTTAGTAACCGGAATGTGCTTAGAAATCTTCCTAAACATTCCTCACCATCCCCCTTTTTAAAAAAAAATCAAGAACTTAAGATCCAATACCCTGTGTGTGTTTCTTTTCTTTCTTTCCTTTTTTTTTTTTTTTTAAGAGAAATTTTTGCTATAGGACGTGTGCACTCACCAGAGAGAAAAGAGACAGAAAGCAAGAAATCACCCCTCAGGAGGATGGCCGCACTGCAGTCCCTTCTCTTCTATTTTCCTCTTGGGATTTTGGGCACGCATACACATGCACCCCGTGTGAGTTTTAAGCCACCAGGTCTGGGACTCGAACCACGGTCAACTAGGTGGGGCCCAGCAACATAAACATTATACCACCTGCTGGTCCCACTCTGTGTCCTATTTTTACTGTAGCTTTCTAGGATCTTAATAAAGGTACACACTATTTGCTAATGAAAGAGATACCCAAATGATTTAGGCGACTTTTTTTTTGTTTTTGCATTTTAGATTTGCTATAGGATGCATATGCTTCCCAGAGAGACAGAAAAAGAATGGGAAAGTGAAACATCAGCCCTTAGCAGGATGGCTACATCGCGGTCCCTTCTCTTTATCTCTCAGGATTTGGGGCATGCACACACGGGCTCCCAGTTTTTTTCAAACCGCCAGGTACTGGATTTGAACCATGCAGTCGACCATGTGGAATCCAGCACCTTAACCTCCTGCTGACCCAGTCAGAGGCTTTTTTTTTACTATCGCATTTCTTTCTTTCCTTCCTTCCTTCCTTTTCAGTTGAAATTAAAATGTACCTATATCCTCTGAATACACATTCAGGTAAGGAAAATCCCCACAGTGTAAGTAATGTGAATGAATGTAGAATCTTGGGAAGTAATTATGTTTTGGTTGGAATAATTGTCATTTTAATTGCCAAGGATTAAAAGACAGCCAGCCCTCCAGTTTTCTTTGAAAATCAGAAACTCCTTAGCATCTTAGATCTTTCCTAGCCAGCCTTTTCGTCATTGGCCCATAAACTGGTCTTGGCTTGTCTTAGAGCAAATGGTGAGAAAGCAGGTCTGTTGGAGGGAGTGGGGCAATTTTAGGGAAGGAGGCTGCTACAGAGATTTTTCTTCTGAAGATGGTCCAGAAATGCATCTTCACACTTGACTGTTACCCACTGTAGCTCTCTGAAGATGATTCTGTAGGAAACAGACTTAGAGAAATGCAGAAAGTGCCAAGACTGAATGTGCAAATTGCCCTTCATATTACCAATACAATATACCTGCTCTCTCTTGTGAGTAAATGCTTCCCGTCAGTGGGTGACAACTCTTAACAGCTGCCTTCATGTGGGAGGCAACCTCAAACTCTGAGCAGGCTCCCTCTACTTTTCTGGTGTCTTAAGAAAATAGTTGGACAAAGCAAAGGTAAAAACGCTTGTTCATTTTCCTTCTCTCTTCACATGAAGTAACAGACAATGCCCTCTTCAAATTCCAAGATGTTAGGGCTCAGGAACAGCTCTTGGCCCTGGTTCCCAGTTACGGTGGCAACAGTCAGAGCCTCCCTTACACAGGACATAGCTTGCACTCACGCTGTGCTGCCACTGGAAACAGGGGCCCTCCATCCTTCCACGGGCTCATCACCAACTCCAAACCTCCAGCAGAGCATTGAGAGTCCTAAGGAGAAAATAAATACTATGCAAGGGAAAAGTGATTATCTTAAGTGTCAACTAATGAATTTTGTGTGTGTGTGCCTGATGTGCTGTTTACTCTTAACTCTCTGTACAAATATACTTGTCCTAAGGGCCTTTTCCCCTCCTGTCTAGAAATAGAAAATGGGTTCTGCATAGCTATTATTCACCCTGCTGTCCGCATTAGAATTGGAGAAGGGGCCAGGGCCCTTTTGGACTGCCACTGCCGGCCAGTTTCCTCCTCTCCAACTCATCATGAAGAGCATTTGGACAAAGACAGAGGATTCGGAACAGGGCATGCCCTGTCAGGGACGCTGCTGCCAACCAGGAAATGATGTGGAATCAAGTGGGTTGGTGTGTTTATGTAAACAGTACCAAAGTGCATTCTTCAATGTATGTTTGCCTGCTTGAGGCAAGGCCCAAGTTGAGACTACAGTAAAGTAAATTTACAGTGAATGTTGTTTCTAGACAAAAGTCTTATCTTGAGAGTGATCCCAGACAGACACAGGCTAAGTGTTGACTGTTTGCTGTTGAATTTTTGGTGCTCTCTCTGCTCTGGGAGATGCTACATGTTGGAATATCTTGCTTTGGCACTCAGAATAATGGGCAAGATTAGGCGCTGGATTGGGGTCTCTCTGTCTTTTGATGCCACATCCCATTTACATTTTAACTCCAATCTGCTGTCATTCTCAATGCAACCATTCATACTCCTAATTAAGACACCAAGAAAGCACTGGAGAATGAGTGGATGAAATGATACCATCTTTGCACATTAGATTTGAACATTTGATTATTTTAAATATCCCTTTTTTAAGAACCATTTTCAGAAATGCATTAAAATCCCCTTGGTGTCAGTATCTCATCCAACAGAGAAGAAATGGATCTCTCTTCTATCTGAACTTGGAAGGCTAGTTTGAAAGACTTCTGTACGAGTCCATGCCAAATCCCGTAAACAAGCATTTGAATGATCTCTGAAATCATCTGACCCGCCCCCTTCAAAGAGTTGTTAAAATGATTTGCAAGAAACAGTGTTGGAAATATGAGAATAGTGCTTGATTGTCTCTTGGCCACTGAAGTCACAAAATCCACATATCCCTCATAAACCCCTTATATCCTGGTGTGGTGAATGGTGTGGCTCTCATTTACAGTGGAAAACTCTGTCCCCAACAATATTTCATAGTCTAGAAGCTGTGGCCTTGTGACATCGAAGTCACTGACTGTCTTCTGCTTGCCTCAGGTCTGCCCCAGAGTAGTGCCATTCTCTACCACTGGCCTTGGCTAACATGGTTCCCGTTGCTTTCTGGGTTAGAGCCTCTCCTCCTGGAGTAGGTCTAACTGGACTAGCGAGACCACACTGTCTTCCCTCAGTGTCCCTTACAAGAGAGGGAGGGATCCTGAGGATCCTGAGGCAGTGTGGTGTGTGAAGCACAGTCAGCATCTCTGGCCACATTAGTCTCTCCCAGGGTGCTCAATGGCATCTTGGCCAAATGACTAGGAAAACAGATCCGTTTGGCAAGAGTTTAAGGACATACCTGAGCTGAACTATGGGCCTGCTACCCAGGTCTGAATTGTAGCCATTCCTAGGAGAGAAGCCTCGGGCAGGGCTTGCCAGGGTGACTAGGTCACACCCATTTTGTTATTTCAGTGACCTAGAGATAATCATCCCCAAATGCCTATGAATGCCTGGGGCCCAGCCCCAGATCCTTCTCTGTAGAAGGTGCTGGTTCCTGGGTGCTTGCCAAGAATGGGGCAACGGGACAGGTTTCCTCTGCCAGAACTAGCTTGCTTGCTGTGAACCGGGATTGACCTGGCACAGCCACAGGGTCTGTTTTAGAGCCACAGCCCCATGTTTGCAGTGGGATTTCAGACAGCCCACTCCCTTGCCTCCGCTTTAGAAGGAAGAAGCTGTCCAACAGCAAAGCATCCTTTCTGGGCCTGGGTTTTGCTTCCTGTATTGGCTGGACGTGTTAACTTCGGTGAGTTTCATCAAACCCCACCTCCACCCCATCTCCTATCCTAGCCATATCACATCCCTGTGTACACATTTGTTGCAAGCAGGTTGCCCACAGGCCTTGGGATGCACTTCCTCAGTGAGGTGTTTCCCACTGCCACCGGGCCCTGACCCAAGAAAGAACGCATGGCGCCTGTACTCTATGTACCCACTTTTTATTGCTGCTGGGCCAGGCACCAGGTCCTGCCCAGCCCAGGGAGGGGAGGTCCAGGTGAGCTCCCTACTCTGCAGCCAGAAAGCCAAGCCTTGGTGCGAGCTCCAAGGCCCGCACGCGGATCTGAGGTGCGGTCGACAGTGCGGAGCCTTCGGGATGGCTTGGGGCGCAGGCGGGCGGTGAGCAAGGCCCAGGGCGCTGCCCTAGCCTTTCGAGTCACTGCTTGCAGGCTCCTTGCAGAATTCATCCATGAACTCGAGGAAGCGACCGAACTTGGGCGGGCCCTCGCCCAGCGCGGGGCGTGCTGGAGGCTGTGGGGTGGCTCCGAATGCTGTCCGCAGCGAGCCACGCACCAGCCGCCGGTAGCGCGCTCGGACCTCCTTTAGTAGCCGCTTGGCCTCCAGGTACTGCTTCTGGTTCACCAGCCGCTGCTCCGCGCGCCGGCGCAGCACGGTGCCTGCGGGGAGAGAAGCGCGGACATCGGGCTTGCTCTGGGGCCACGCAGCCCGAGGCAGCGAGGCTGGCCGCAGACCCGAGGGAGTGGGAGGTGTGGGGATGTACGAATGGCCCTTTTTCCCTTGGGGCAGGTCTCTAAAGGCTGTCTGATAGCCTCCCCATCTGTACACAGTAAAGGCCGAGGCTGTGCGCACCGTGAGCCCTTTCTGCTCTGCCTTGCTGGTCTCAGTCCTGCAGCCAGGGAGCCATACCTAGTGGCGCCTCTGAAATATTTCGGGGGTCCCGCATGCGAATGAGGATGTCATCCAGCAGCTGGGCTCGAGTCTTCCGCGGGGGTGGAATGGGGACCCTTTGGGCCTAATGGGAGATAAGAAAGGAAGGTATTCCAGCAGTTAGCGTAATGGCTATGCCCCTGGACTCCCACGTAGTTGACCACGGTTCGCGTCGCGGACCCGGTGGCTTAAAACTCACGCCGGGCGCGTGTGCGTGCGTGCCCAAGATCCCGAGAGGAGAATAGAGAAGGGATTGCGGCGTGACCATCCCCCCTGGGGGGTGATTTCTCGCTTTCTGTCTCTATGTCTCTGTCTGGCGAGCACACGCGCCCGATAGCAAAAACCTCTCTAAAAAAAAAATAAAAGGAAGGCAGGCATTCCTGGCCTTACCCCTCTCATAGTCACAGCAACGGACAGAGCAGCCCTTGCGGGCCTCAAGGGGGCAGCCATCGGTACTTATGGGGTCTTAGGGGCCATTCACACACTGGGTGGGCCAATGTTACCCGTTTCTCTTTGGGAAAATAGTGTTTCTGCGGAGTATCCAGCTTGGCCTTAGAGGAGCGGTACAGTAGCGGGTGCTTTAGCATGTGCTGCAGGGCCTGGGCGTTCTTCTGGATTCCTAGGGTAAGGAGGCAAGACCAAGTCAGGACATCTTTATTCTCCAGTCTCCAGGCAAGCAGCCCTGGGTCAAAGGATTAATCTGCTCCCAGATCTCTCCCTGATCTGCTCCAGCACCTTAAGTTCCATCAGGCGTATAGTGAGTACCTATCTTCCGTGAGCACAGATTCTAGTGGAAAAACAGCACTGCAGTGGGAAAAGGCCAGCCTCAATGTGACTCCATTAACCTCAGGGGCTACACTGCAGGGCCTGACTCAAGGGAGCACAGCCGAATTAGCACTTTTGGAAACACAAATACCATGAACACATCAGTCTGAAGTAAGGGGCTCTGAGAGGAAGCTGCCTCCTTGCCTCAAACCAATTAGGAGGTATTCCGGATATTCTGTTTGAGGCTTAACTGGCTGGGAAGAGCTTAGAATCTGGCCCATCTGGGTGTCTGGTCATCAAACCTTTCCTGAGGAGAGACTTTTCCAACCAGAGCAGCAGGGCCCCAGCCAGCTGGAATCTCAAAACAGGCAGTGGCTCCCCAAAAGCCAGTGAAGGCCCAGGTGCAGACAGGAGTCCTGTTATTTAGGGTTTCAGCCAGGACTCCCTAAGAAACCCTTTGACAGAATCTGAGATGGAGTCTTGGCTTGGCACTGACTTGCTCTGGGCTGTGGAGACAAGGACATGCCCTCATATACCCTTTGGCTCGATGAAGGCTGGATCAGGCCTGGCTGTAAGCAGCTCCTCATAGCCATGGTACTTGCTGGGGAGGGGGGCAGATGGGGGCTTCCTCCGAGTCCTCTTCACCTCCCTGGGTGCTGTAGGTGGTCTACTCTTGTCTTTCTCCTTCACCTCTAGATCATCCCTATGGATGATGGAGGAAGGCAGCTCACTCACCTGTGCTCAGGAAGGAAAACACATTTTATTCCATGAACACTTCCAAGCATCACCTCTCTGCAGTGCTGGAGCTGGCCCTGTTCAGGGCAAGACCAAGAGCAGAATGGGAGGAGATAGACATAAAAACAGACCTTGATAAATGCTGTTATCAGAAGGGGGGCACAATGATTTTGGGGGATCCCAGAGGAAGCCCAACCCAGCCAGGAAGCCACCTGGAAGAAGTGATCCCTTAGCCGGAGCTAAGTCTTAAAGAGTCTGAACTATGCCTATGCAAGGGAGGGGAGAAGAGTGGACTGCATCTGTTGAGAAAGGATGACCCCCACAGGCAAGGAATAGCAGGAGCAGAGGTGGAGAGGTCAGACACATCAAGGTGTATTTGAGGGGACTAAGACTGGTACAGTTGAAGGGCAATAAGAAGAAAAAGGTCATTGAGGTGAGAAGCAGGGCTCAGGTCACTAAGGATCTTTACATGCCAAGCTGAGGGTATTTTGTTTTTCTTTATCCTCACTGATGGCAAGCTAGGGAGGATTTTAGCTTACCCTAGTGGCTTTATAAGAAGCATCTTTATGAAACTTGCATTTCATGTAGGGATGTACTTATACCCCTTATTAAAATGGCTGAATCAAGAAATAGGCAATCTGATAGACCTATAACAAGTAAAAAGGTTGAATTAGTAATTTAAAAAGCTTCCCACAAAGAAAAGCCAAGGACCAGATGGTTTAACTGGTGAATTCTATTATGCATTTAAAAAGGAATCAACACCGATCCTTCCCAAACTCTTCTAAAGATTATTAATAGAAGAGGGAACATTCCCCAATACTGACTGAAGTCAGTATTATCCTAAAACCCTAACTAGGAGAAACATCACAAGAAAGGAAAACTATACTCTAATATCCTTTATGAAGATAAAAGAAAAATCCTTGAAAAATACTAGCAAATTACATTTGACAACATGTAAAAATTGTTATACATCACAACGAAGTGGGATTTATTCCCAGAATGCAAAGTTAATGAAATATCTGGAAATCAATTAATGTAAAATGCTATGTCAATGGGAAAAAAGGTCAAAAACCAGAAGAAGCATTTTACAAAATCTAACATCCATTTCTGCCAAGAAAAAAAAAAAAAAAAAAAAAAAAGCTCAATAAGGGCAGGACAGTAGTACAGTTGTAACACAATGCTCTGCTGGCCTGACCCACATTGGAAGATTCTGGGTTCAGTATATAGACCTCTCTGGCAAGAGCATGCATGCCCATGATCCAGAGTAGATCATAGGAGTAGATCATGACATAAGGATCCTGTTGGGAGTGCCTCTCTCTCTGTCTCTTTCTGTCTCTCTGGCTCATTGAAGAAAGAAAAAAAGAAAGAAAAACTTAAAAACAAACAAAAAATTCAATAAACTTCAAATGGAAAGAAATGTCTTTGACCCAATAAAGAGCTTCTATGGAAAACACACAGCTAACATCAAAATTAATGGTGAAAACAGAAGACTCTTGCCTTAAGATCAGGAATAGACAAAAGATGTCTGCTCTCACCATTTCTATTCAACATTGTACTAGAAACTGTAGCCATAGCAATTCAGCAAGAAAAAAGAACCTGTTTGTTTGCTTTGAACAGCATGATGAGCAATTGTATTCTTTGGTTATTAGGAAGCTCAGAATTGCATTTTTGAAATACATCTTTATTATGAGAGTAACAGGACATGATATGCATATCTGAGTGACAGAGTTACTCTTGGACATATCATTACCTTCCCTGTTTTAGTTTCATCTAACTCTCTCAATTGTTTATTTAAAAAAAAAAAAAAACTTGTTTATTCTTTGCTTTGTTCCAGAAAGGTTCTGAAATAACTCATAAAGATACTTTTATACTGTATGAATGTATATGTCACTATAATTCATCTATGGGTAATGAGTTCAATGTGAATGTATGGGTGAATGTACATCTTGGCAAGATCTGGCAGCAGACAGATTGTAGGGGTAAGACTGGAGGTGGCAAACAGATCAAGGAGAGGGTTGGTGTGACAATAAAGTTCAAGGAGCCCTGCCAACTATTCCAGCCTTATATGTTCCTATCCCTTTCCTGACACACCACCCTTTGTCGTCTGCACTGACACTGAATGACTATTCATGCTTCCTATATTTACCATTTTAATCTCTCTCCTCTGTGCCCTATTTCAAGCTGTTCCTTCTGCCAAGAATGCCCATTCCGCCCACATCTTCACCTTGCTCATTCTTTATCAGCCTACAAAGCTCAGCTCATTTGAACCTCTTCCAAGAAGTCCTTTTGGGCTGAGGAGGCATTCCTCCTTCCCCCAGGCTCCTAGTCCCTGAGTTTTCCTGTCTCAGCTCTGCTTGCATGTATCATTCCCATCCATTTTCCTATTATACCAAGAACACCCTGTGGACAGGACCTGCATCTGACCCACCTGTCTCCCCAGTGTCTAGAGGCAGCATCAGAAGTAAGGTGACCTTGAGCAGAGAGGAAAGCATCAGCAACCCTTCTGAAAAACTGGTTAGAACCAAAACCCAGGCAGCCCCAGATGGTGTCTGGGCCACAGAGCCATGATATGGCCTGCTGGTGTCTCCATCAGGACCCTTAGCTCAGTGGATCTCCCAAAATGGGGCTTGCAAGTCCTGCCAAAGGTGCTTCCCTCTGACTTCAGACCTGCCTTGTGCTTGTCCCCAGCTGTCCACAGCATGCCAGCCAGCTAAGGGCTGTGCGGGAAGCCATGAGAGCTGGGAACACAGGGGCAGGGGCAGCTGGATGCAGGCACCTGGGTCAGGAAGATAGACTCTGTGCTCTTGGTTTCTTCATCTGTCAGGTGCTCTGGGCTGAGGTGGCCAGCAGTGTCGCTTGGGCGTGATGCAGTCTCTTCGCTGTGCACAGTGGAGTCAGAGCAGATGGGAGGTAGTGGCACAAAGGTCCGGTGGGGCAGGGAAACGCTTTCCAGATCATCTGCAGGCATCTCTGGCTCCAGAGAAGTGCTTTTGGTTGTAGGCAGCTGCTCAGCTGGCTCTGCCTCTGGCTCCAGTACATTCTCCCTTGAAGGAGAATGGACTGTGTTCCCACATGGATGAGGGAGCGTCAGAGGCTGCTTCGGCACCTTGGGAACATGAGTTTTCACCTGTCGTGGGAAAACAGCTGGGTTGGATGTGCTCCCTAATCCAGAGTCTCTCCTCCTGGCCTTACCAGCCTCAGGCCCCTTGTGCAATGATCAGAGCCCTGTGAAGGGACTCAGGCAGGTGGGGAGTGACATCACGCTTGCTGGGCATCTACAGTCTGGCTTGTGTAAACACAATTGTTTTATTTGCACCTCCAGACTACTCTGAGCATAGTTATCCTCACCATGCAGGTGAGGACATGGGCTTGGCGAGGTGCAAGGACTGACTTATCTGTGGTGGCAGAGTAGTGCAGCAGTCGAGCCTGTACTCCTGACTGCAGTCCTGGGCTCAGGGCACATGCTGTGTCCTAACAATATCATTCTGGCCCTTACCAGCCTTACCCTTCAGATTGAGGTATAACACCATGCCTTAGACTCTCCTCAGAGAAAGGGGAAGTGTCAGATACTTTTCAGGGTGTTGGCACCTGTACCTTATGTAAAGATCCAAAAGAGCAATCTCTGTTAGGGTTTGGGACCAGGAAATCACTGCTGAACTGCTCAGTTCTCAGCAAAAGCCTATGGTGATCTTTTTCCTCCTCCTTGTCTCAGCTGCCAGGAGGCATCCAGGTGCTCAGCTCCCTCAGCTGGGCCTAGTCCTTCCTCCCCTCCCTGTCTGCACAGTGGATAGTTTTCATTCTTTATCAAAGATATTCGGTCCATTTATATCTGTACTTTTATAGACTGCAGTGAAGTGGAAAGTTCCCAGGCACTATAGTTAGAAAATAAGGCTGGGTAGTCTGTCTGCTGAGCTCCCCTACCTCCTTATGAAAGGGAGAATAGTTCGCATCTTGCCTAGGTCACAGAGTTCTCTCAAAGGAGACACCACGTGCAATTGTACCTAACACATGAAGGCATGTGAAGGATAACTTCTATAAAATAAGTTTCTTGTTAAGAACAGATTTCCTTCCTGAGAGCATGTAAAACTTCAGCATTTAGACCTGCAGGCTGAGAGTCCTAGCATCTTTTTTCAGCATCCACGCCATGGGGAACAGACAGTGCCATGCCTCAGTGTCCAATCACCAAGGGCCAACACTGGTGGGTGGGCAGGAGAGGAGCAACATTCAGGCTTCCCTCAGGCCTGTGATGGAGAAGGACTGCAAGGGAGCTCTTCCTCTGTTCCCCACTACTTTCTCAGCCCTCTCCCAAAGGAAGGATGGACAACCTAATCGGTCAGAGGCTGACTGTCACTGGGCCCTGCTCACTGTTGGGCTGGATGGCTGGGCACTGCAGTAGTTGAGTAGTTGTGTCTTCTGTTTATGCTCTCACAAGCAAAGGCTTATGTGGCCTTCTGGTTATAGGCCTACTCTGGCAGGCTTCTGTTGTACCCCTGCCCTGTGCACACTGAGGTGGGATGGTGGGCCTGCAGCCTTGGCCATGTGGCTGAGTCAAAGGCCCAGGAGTCATGCTGCACATCTAGCCCCATCTCTGTGAGTACACAGGACATGTGGACATACTCTGTCTAGCTTAAGGCCTAAGCCACAGTCTCCAGTCTAGCATAGAGTCTTCCTATATGAACAAAGTATTGATTTGTTTTATGGTCAGCCATGAGTATTTGTGTGTCTCTACTAGTCAGAACCTTGGACTGGAGGAGCAGCAAGGGGTCCCTTGGACTTTCACACTAAGTTGGAACAAGGTAGTCAGTTGGCCTCTCTGACAAAGCAAGGGCAGGAGAAGACAATACTGAACCTAATGGAGAGAGTCCAGGCTGAGGAGAGCAGCACCATGGTCAGGTGAGATGGGCACCAGTCTCGGGTAGGCGCCCTACCTTGGAAGCCTTACCTTCCGCGATTCCTTCCGAGGCATCACAATATGGTGCTTAGCCTTTACTATCTTCCTCCGAATCAAGTGGATGCCCAGTCGCTCCTGGAGGAAGCTCTTTAGCAGTGGAGGTACTCCTGGTGACACGACAGGAAAATAAGATGATTTTAGCTAACATTTACTGGGTGTTAACATTGTGCCAAACATGTCAAAATGTGTAACGTGTTAAGGTAACATTCAATTCTCAGACCAATGCTAGGAAGTAAGGACCATATTATTCCCACTCAAATAGGCAAGGAAACTGGGGCACAGAGAGGTCAAGGGATCTATGGAAGGTGACAAAAGACGGTGGAGCAGAGTTGAGCTCCTGGGTCTTTGTCCAGGGCCAGGATTCTGACATGCCTCAGCTGCGGCATCTTGGACAGCAGGCTCCACTGCTTATCATTATCACAGCATTCCAGGTGCTCAGAGAGAGGGGAGCCCTGCAGCTGGGACTGCAGCACTCCCCCCAACTGGGAAGTGGGAAATGAGGTCACAATAGTTTTTTTCCCACAAAGTAGAGTATAGCTTTAAGACCTTGGGGCTGGTAGGTGGTGTGGCGGCTAAGGGTGCTGGACTCCCACATGGCCAACCACTGTTGAGTCCCAGACCTGGCGGCTTTCTTTCTCTCTCTCTCTCTCTCTCTCTCTCTCCCTCCCTCTCTGGTCAAATTAAAATAAATAAATAAATAAAGTTAAAAAATGCGAACTAGTGCATGACCTGTGTAATTTGGCATTCCATTCCCAATTCTGCCTATTTCTTCTGGGTGACCTTAGGGAGATCAAGAACGTCCCTAAGCCTCGTTTTCAACCTGTGGGGACCAGAGAGCTTGCCTCAGGGCTGTTGTCAGGAGGAGCCAGCACAGAGCAGGTGCTCCACAGTGTCTCGTCTTCTATGTCCCCCACACACCATGAACCTCATCAGCTCAGCATGAGTAAAGCCTGGGTCTGGCACTGTGGAGGTGGGACAAGACATGGCCAACCACTGTTGAGTCCCAGACCTGGCGGCTTTCTCTCTCTCTCTCTCTCTCTCTCTCTCCCTCCCTCTCTGGTCAAATTAAAATAAATAAATAAATAAAGTTAAAAAATGCGAACTAGTGCATGACCTGTGTAATTTGGCATTCCATTCCCAATTCTGCCTATTTCTTCTGGGTGACCTTAGGGAGATCAAGAACGTCCCTAAGCCTCGTTTTCAACCTGTGGGGACCAGAGAGCTTGCCTCAGGGCTGTTGTCAGGAGGAGCCAGCACAGAGCAGGTGCTCCACAGTGTCTCGTCTTCTATGTCCCCCACACACCATGAACCTCATCAGCTCAGCATGAGTAAAGCCTGGGTCTGGCACTGTGGAGGTGGGACAAGGGTACCCACACTGCTCTTTGGGCACTGGGCTGGAGGGGGCAGGTTCACAGGCACCATACCTCGTGTTTGAGACACCAGAGGGTTGTTATGAAAGATGAGCTCGCAGAGAGATGGGAAGAGAGCTACTGGCAGGACAGCATCCTCTTTGGCGATCTGTGATAAATGCAGAGAGACTGTCGGGTTGGCACCACCCTAACTACTGCCCAGGTGCATCCAGGCCCCAACTGTGGAGCCAGTGCTTGCCAAGATGGAGAGAGAGGGAAGGAGGGAGCTTTTCAACACAGTGAGAAGGCCTTTTGTGGGAAAAGAGTAGTCTTTTCAATAAACGGTATTGAAAAAAGTTGGATTTTCATAAGCAAGTGAGTGAAGCTGAAACCCCTATCTTACACTTTATATAAAAACTAACTCAAAATGGAATAAAGACCTAAATGTAAGAACTAAAACTACAAAACTCTTAGTAGACAACAGTTGGGGAGATTAGCTCTACCAACTACTTGCCTTAGAAAGAAATAAACAGTATTTTAAAAGTTGTTGGCATTTCAGACTTGGGTAGGGTTCCATGGGGTTTTACAGAAGATCATGGTTATGGAAAAAATAGGACCAGTTGGTCATGGTAGTTAAGGAGCTTGATCCCACGTGGCCAATTGCACAGATTGAGTCTTGAACCCAGTGACCTGGAAACCCTGGGTGTGTGTGCATGCATGTCTGAAATCCTGAGGAGAATGGAGGAGGAGAGATTACAGCAGGGCCACCCCCCAGGGAGTGATTTCTTACTTTCTCTCATCTCTCTTTCTCTTTCTCTCTGTTCCTCTCTGGTGAGTGCATGTGCCCTATGGCAAAACTAAAAGAAGAAAAGGAAAAATATAAGAAAAACATATTCAGTGTGTCCCCATGGACCTTATAGCCACTATTTCCCTCGATAGGGAAACAGGTAGACATTTCTCACTTGACCCTCCCTCTTCACCTGACTAAACTCATTGATTCAGATCTCAACTTAAATACCATTTCCTTGAAACATTGGGTTAAAACTCCTATCATATATTTACTTCATAGCACTTGAATTGCTTCATGACACTAAGCATGCTTATGTTATGATTATTTGTCCAGTATCAGCCCTCTCCACTCCAAAAGGGCAGAGGCCGAGTCTTTCTTTTCACAGCTGGATACCCAATGCCTAATACAGAGCCTGGCACCAAGCCTGGTAAGTGCTGACTAAATATCTGACTGGATGGATGGGCTCCTGCTTTAGCGTGCACTAGCTCCACTCTCCCCACCCTGAGAATCCCTGAGCTGCCAGTAATGCAGCAAACTGCAGGGCTGGCCTTCAGGCCAGAACAGCTCAATCCTACCATCCCATCTATGCCCGAGGAAACAGGTAGAGAAGCAGAGAGTCACCTTGTTGTAGGCTAGGCTAAGGCATCTCAGCTCTGGGAAGGGCGGGGCCAGCGTCTGGTTCCTGGCCCTCAGTGACTTCACAGGAAGAATCTCAAATATGGGAGGAAGTACACATACCTTGGTTGTCTTGGAAAGAAAACAAAGTCAAAGTCAAAGTGCCCTGATGGTAAGAAAGTTGAGGCTTCCTAGGGCCAAAGACCCTTCCAATGCAATGTGGTGGAAAGAATGACCTAGAGAGGGTTGGCCAAAAGAAACACCTAGGGTCATAAGGAGGAATGTCACCAAGGGCCCAGAATTCTGGCTCCAAGTTCTCTGAGGTCACATTGTGAGTTAATCCTCCGGCATCCAAAGTTCCATTTCTGAGGCCACAGGATAACACGGCAGTTATGCAGACATCAGAGGTAATGTGCCCCCACTTTCCACCTCTGCCTTATAGCAGCTTCTCCTGAACTGGCCCTCCTACACGGTTGGGCTGTAATTTCCCTAGAGGGCAAAGAGGCAGGCTCTTGTGTTGTAAGAGAAAGTTTCC